GGGGGGGGGGCTAAGGCTCTCCAGAGGTGGGGTCCTGAGCCTCAGAGCTGGCAGGAAAAGGGTCCCGATGGCACACCACACTGGGACACGTACACAGCCTGTGCAGTGTCAAAATTAACATCCCATGTCTGGAACGCTGTGTCCATTGTCACGTGTATGTATAGTGATATCAGAGCACTCCAGCATCCAGCACTCAGCTCACCAGATGCTCCCAGCAGCAATCTGAGGGACAGAAACCTGTATCTCCCAAGGCTTGCGCAGCTCAAGATCCATGGAGTCACCCAGAGGAGAGTCACCCAGTAGCGCTTTAGATCCAGCCCCCACCCCCATGGTGCTCCTTTCCAGGGCCCCAGGCAGCTCCTTCTGGGCCACACAGTTACTGGTTGGTGTCACTTACCCAGGAAGGGCCAGGACCCTCAGAGCCCTAGGAGCCTCTGGCAAAGCCAGAGAGATGCTTCTGAGAGTCTGGTTTCTGTCTCCCTAAATGGCCACAGGACTCTCCCCGTTCACTCACACCCCCCAACCTCCCCAGACACCCCCAAATCCCTCTCCTGCCTGGAGACGACAAGGATTTACTTTCTCAGCTCCTTCCCCAGTCCCTGCCACTTGCTCTGGACCCATCAATAAATCCCTTGTGATGAGTTGTTGGCGTGTCAGCCCTACATGGACATAAATCTTGGATGTTTCCTGTGGTCTGTTTTGAGACACTATTTTCACTTTTCCTGCACACCTCCCACACCTGAAAAATTCCTGATGAAAATAATAGACCTTCCCGGCCTCCCAGTTCCCTTTTATCAAGTCCCCAAGCAGAAAGAGATGCCCTGCGTGACAAAAATCTAGAAAAATCCAAATGCGCATATTAAACCACTCAGGAAGCTAAAACAGGAATATTCTGTTGCCAGGGATGTCTTCAGACTTGAGCTCTGAAACCTTCCTTAGTTGCAGAGGCCTCCGTGGGAAAAGCGATTTTGTTTTAAATAGCAGTAGGATGAGATAACGGGGCCTAAACTCACATCCCATTAGAGCGTTAAATCCTGCCTTCTCACCTCCGAGTGTAATTAATTGTGATGACTCAGGAATACAGCTCTTAGTTCAGAGTACGGTGCTATTTAAAGAGAAAAGTATTCAGCTCTGTAGAGACTGCTCTCGGTTACCAGTCCCACGGCCAACAGATTTGGTCAAGTTTGGTAAGTCAAACGACACTCCTGTTTCAGTCACCTTTATGCCATGAGTCAGAAAACTCGGGGAGGGGTGGGGAGTAAAGGTGGAGGCTGGTGGAAGGTGACAGAAAGGGATGGGACGGCCTCCCGCCCAGCAGTTTTGCTCCCAAGCCTTCCCATTCAGGAGGAACTGCTACAGAGGGTGAATGAGACAGAGACACCTGCTGGCGAGAGGCGGACATGCACGCTGCTCTCCCAGCTGTGTTCTGGGACATCCCCTCCCGGAGAGTCCCGAGGTGCTGTTTACAGCATAAACCTATTTGTTCTGAGCAAAGAATATTCTTGAAATAAGCAGGAGGCGTTTGGGTGCAATGAGTAGAAATGTTCTGCAAATAAATATGTGCTTAATTTCGTGTCCTTAATCCCCCATGATCATCTAAGCAGGTCTAATCTTAATAAATACCATTTCAAGGAAAATGACCAAAAATAAAACTATAAAAGAGTGACAAGGCCTAGATAAATTATAAAAATAATGTTTTGTCCAGGGAAAAGGTTACAACCATCCGTAGGAATTTTTTCAAGCCAGATTAAATCTTGTCTATGGTTCTGGACCCTAAGGTAAGCAACCTACACGTCTAGATCAGGAGAAAGGTGAAGTAAATTATGGCCCAACATGTCCAAGAAATAGTAAATAGCATGCAGCTATTAAGGGGGATAGTGAAGAAGCTGTGTTGCAGCCGAAAATGTTCATGGTATAATTATAGATTTTTAGAAGTCGGCTAAAATGTGTGCATAATTTGAATATATGTATAAATATATATCAATCTCAGTAAATATTGGGAAGGAACTAGGATAATGGGGGGAGACTCCAGTGGAGTCCCAGCATCTGAATTATCTAGGTGGTTACTTTTAGCAAGTCATTTTCCTCCTGGGACCTCAGATTTTTCATCTGTAAAAAGGGTGATAATATTACTTAACACTCAGAATTGTTGAGAGCCGTGACGGAGTGAGTGTATACAACATGCCTGGCACATAGTAGGTGTGCAAAAACATTCGGTTTTGTCCATTACTTCCTGCTCCCTTTTTATTATTGAAATAATTAAAGTCTCAGTCTCACAAAGCGGCCCATGTTTTTTGTGGTTAAGTCATTTCCATGCAGAATATTTGTGGATGTCACTTAACTGTTTTAGTTGCCCAAACAAAAGTGATAAGCCATATTTAAGCTCATTTACCTTTGTATTTTAATCAGATAGCCAGCAAAATATATTATGGTTGCATATTTAGCAGAGCAAGCATGGGAATGTCCTCATGGTATCATAAACCTTATTTCAGAATCACCAAAGCAGCACTAGATGAGCGATATAGGAAAGTCTGAATTCATTAAACCATTTCCATTTTCCTGTAGTGATGGAGCCACGGGCTCTTGTCCCTACACAGTGATAGGAGCTTATCAGGGTGCTCCCATAACGCTTTTCCTCCCTTTAAAAGAAACCTTCACAGTTCATCTGCAGACTTGGTTAAAGGCAAACGGCACAAGACTGGCGAATGCCCAGGGTGCACGTTGCAATTCTCGTCGAAACTTCCTCACACCTTCGCCCGCATTGAAACCGTGGAAGGTAATTTCAAAGATGGCACAAGCATCGCCCTCCCCCAGCAGTCCTGCCCTTGCCCGTTTCTCTCAGCAGCAGATGGAGTTTATCTGCACCCTCGAATCTGTGCTGGACCTTGGTTTGTAAACTGGCCCCACACACAGTGGGCACGGAGAGACCGAAGGACGAGGCAGACGCTCCAGACGGGCAGGTGGCAGGTGTGAAAACATGGGAACTTACAGGCAAGGCTGGTCTTGGGCACCCGCAAGGCAAGTAGATCTCTGCTCCCACCCACCAGAACCTTAAAAGTTTATAAGGAGGCCTCACCGG